GCGTATGTGTGTGTTTTCAGGGGCCCAATATGGCTTCCAAATGCAGGCTTCCCTTCCTCTGTGCAAGTGACCATAGCCCATCGACACACATGGTCACCTGGCTGTTCTTACATGGAACTGCAAGAGGTACAAAACACCCCATCCCAGGGCAGAGGCCTAGAGGTGGGCCCCTAGCTGCCTTCCGGACACTCCTGAGGAGCTGCTGCGACCTCCTTGGCTCTGGAGATTCCTAGACCAGGTCCTAAAACCCCGCGGGCCCCTCACCTGTGGCCTCTGACCCACCAGGCAGGGAGGCTGGCCAAGTTCCCAGCTGGGTGCGGGAGAGCAGGTGCTGCTCTGGTGGCCGCCTGACTCCCACCATGGGCAAGGCTCCTGGCAGGCCCAGGCAGGTCCCTCAGCCCCACAGAGCCCAGGAAGGCTCAGCTGCAGTGCCTTGGGCCCCAGGGTGGGGACTACCTGGAGTCCCAGGAGCAGTGGTTTGTGTGTGTTGTATGTGTGCATGTGTGTGTGTGTGAGAACAGGTAGATAATAAACATCCCCATTGCTCAGGGAGTCACAGCGTACACAAACACTTTTCCAGCCATTTTGTTCTGTAAGCTTCACAACAACCTATGAGGTAGGCAGGCCCGCGGCCCCCTCTCTACAGTGGGAAAAACTGAGGTCGAGACAAGCTGAGGGGCCGTGGCAAGCCTATGCCAGCCAGCCCAGCACTCCTGTTCTCACGGAGGCCCCTCCATACCCTTAGCTAAGAGTAAAACCCACCAAAGCCTCTCCCAGGAGTAGAAAATGGCCATAGGGCACAACAGCCACCCACAGATATGCAGCCACCACAAGCAGCACAGTACCCTTCGGGCCATTCCAAGATGAGATGCCTCGCTGCCAGAGCCGAGGGGACACCGCGGCCTCCTGGCTGGCCGCCAGGGCCATGCCCATGACTGGGGGACCTTTGGGGTACTGAAAATGCCCACAGTGTGCCTAGGGTGACAGCGACCACAGCCCCACAGCTGCACCCCTCTGCCCCCGGAGCTGGCCATGAGGTGCACAGGCAGCTCCGGAGTGTGGGCAAATCACGGATCTGCAGTTTGAATTCCCATCTGCCATCGGCCAGCTGGGTGACCGTGGACCCATTCCATTCCGTAAGCTTCAGTGTCCTCTGCAAAACAGGAATAATCAGAGTACCCCTCTCGTAGATTTGTGGAGCTAGACCAATTGTGGATGTAGAACTTTAGTGGGAAAATCGGCGATAGATGGGAAATACGAAATAAGCAATAGTAATTATTTATTATGATGATTATTATTATCAGCGTCAGCAAGAAACCAGATGAGGCGGGGCCTGGTGGAGGAGAGTCCTGCCAGATGCTGGCCTAGCCAAGGTCCTTCCTGCAGCCCTCTAACAGCGGTCATTCATTCCTTTATTCATCTACACACATGGACGGGGCACTTACTGTGTCCAGCTCTGTGCAGAGCCCCGGGGATACAGCAGTGACCAGGACAGGAGTCCCCACTTATGGAGGGGGCGCTGAGATGTTTACAAATTTCTATATATTGTGACCAGATGACAAAGGAAACAACAATAGCTGGGACCCAGTGACCGAGTCCACTGAGGGGCCATCCCAGTCCAAGGGGCTGGCCAGGCAGGGAGGGCCTCTCTAGGGAGGGGATGTCCCTTCGGAGACCTGAATGGTAGAAGGAACCAGCCAAGCAGGAAGGAAAGTGGCTCATCCAGGTCGGCAGGGTCAGGGCAAGGGCAGGACAGGCCCAAGAGGCTGGAAGAGGGGCTCCACTGCAAGCAGGCTGCCTGGCCAGTGGTCCCAGGCTGAGGGCGGCACAGCCCTGCTGGCTCTGGGCACAGAGAATCAGGCCCTCAAGGGCTCTGAGCCCCCCATCCCTAGGGAACGGAGGGGTCTGGGGGCTAAGGGGCCAGCACTGGCCCTTCCAGCTGCTCTGTCAGTCCAACAGTTCAGGGGGGGTTCCCACAGTGACCAGGGAGGGACTTCAATGTTGTCTGACACAACGGAGAGAACATCTACTCTGTGTGTGTGTGTGCGCGCGCGTGCGCACGCACGGGTATGGGTGCATGTGGAAGCATGTGTGCATCTGTGTTGTGTGCGTGTGTGCACACACGTGTGTGAAGGCCTGTGGGGCTTTGGAGTAATGCAGATTGGGGTTTGATTTGGGCTGCTCACAAGTGACAAGAACATCTCTTGAGTCTTATCTATAAAATGCAGACAACCATATCTCCACCTCAAAGGATAACTGGGATCATTCAATCTGGTTCATTCATTCATCCAGACAGCAAGTAGTTACTGCCCACCAGTATGTGCTAGGCACCACGCACAGCAGGGAACATCATATCCCTGCCCTGGTGGACGCAGCATAGGAGTCAGGGTGTGATGGGGACACAGACCAGAGTCTAGCTAGCCAGGGATTGTGTGGGTGCCAGGGCATGAGTGGGTGGGTTGGGGGCCTGGGAGTACTGGGGGCCATGCTGTATGTAGGGAGGGAGAAGGGGCTCTCATGGGAAGAAAATTTTTGAGCAGATGCCTTGCAGGAAGTGAGTGGGTGCACCATGGGCCTGAGGAGGACCGCTCTGGGCAGAGGGGCCAAAGGCACGTTGGGCAGCACACTGGGGAGGGGCCGTGGAGTCCTGCTGAGAACTCTGGGGCTTTTCTCCTTGAACTCCAGCCACCCTGGGGCCCCCGCAGAGGAGAATGGGCACAAAGAATCTTCAAGAGAAACGGTGACTCTCCCCTGTCTGGGAGCACAAACCCTCATCCAGAACCCCAGGCCAGGGGCATTCGGGGATCCAGAGGCTTTAAGATGGCAGAAGGTCGTATCGTCGATGGGCTGTGTGCTCAGAATAGGCCAGCGAGGTCCCAGCATCATCCCTCAGTCCAACACTTCCCTGTTCTGCAGGGAAACAAGAATTTGCACGCTAAGAGGGACCCGGAATGGCTACAAATACCCTCCTGCCAAGTGCATTAGAAAAAGCTTCTGGTTTTGGTATCGCCTTGCAGATGAGTGGCTGTGGCCCTGTATCACTTCCGCTTTACCTACTTCTGTCACCACCACCATCATCATGATCACGTACCCTTGGGGGCTTGGCTCAGAGCTCCCACAGGGACCCTACCTAATACTCCTTCTCCCTGGGGCATAACAGGGAGAGATGTGGTAGGAACAGGATAGGAAATCGGTGGCAGTTGGCAGAGGAAACCAGGTCCCATGTGTCATCACAAACTCTTATAGAAACATCTGGAGTGAGCCCCTCTTTCTCCTCAGCTTCAGTTTCCCCAATCTGTCCTACAGGGACAGCAGGCTCTGGGGCCTCCCAGTGGTAGACCCCTATGTGACCCTGTCAAGTGATGGTGATGGGGTTTCTGTCCTGATTCTACCACCAGTGAGCTGTATGACCTTGGGCAAGTCACTCAGTCTCTCTGAACCTTGGTTTCCTGACCTGGAAATGGGGGTGAGTGTGGTCCCTTTTCCACAGAGCTGTGGGTGGAAAGAACTTTGGGCTATGTGAAGCTCTGAACAAAAAGGAGGGCTTGTCGCTGTGACAGTGGTGACACAGATGTAGCATGAAACTCATGCAAATTCAATTAGACACACCAGGCCACCACAGAGAGCAATCATGATTTAGATAGTGAGGGCAATTCTGCCCGGCTTGTTGGCGCAGGCCCTGGGTGAGCTTGCTGGCCTCCTGCGGGCTCCCTGCCCCAGGCTTCTCCTGACATAAGCCCAGTGTTAGTCTCTGCGTGCTTTGCACATAAAAAGGCTCCTGATAAAAAACCAACCACTTCGGCTCATGCTCCACCAAGAAACAGAATTTTGATCCATTGCGATCTTTGTTTCTCTGAATCCCTGATACAGATTCAGGTTAGACCTGCCTCCACTGATTAGTGTCCTTTCAGAAAAGGAGGGTTTCCGACCTTCCTCATCAGCCTCCTGTGGGAGCAGGAGAGGAAGGGAATTCCAGGATGTCCCCAAAAGGCAGTCAGACACTGTAAATCCAAGACAAAATGAAAAGCTGATGCACTACTCGAGGGAACCACTGTTTATGAGAAAAATGGAACATCTGGCTTCCAAACCACACTAAACCGGTCAGTTTCCTTAGCTGGGAAACAGAGAGATGACAGCCTCCCTCACTGAGACTGCCAGGAAGAAATGGGGTTTCCCATCACAAAACCTCGCCCTGGGGTCCTCACGAGGTAAGAGCTTGATAAATGTTTGCTGTCACTGCTGGTCTCAGTATTGTCCCAGCTCCTCCCTGGGTTCTTGGGTGCCCAGTGGACCCCTCAGCAGGCCACACCCTTGCCTCCAATTCCCAGTGGGTCGTGGCTGCAAATACAGACTGCTCACAGATTCAGGCAGGGCCTACAAGCAAGTCAGAGGCTGGCTGGCCTGGGCCAAATTCTGGCTCTGTGGAGTACTGCAAAATGGGAGCAATAATACGGGTCCAAAAACATTCATCTGCAATTCCAAACCCCAAAAAACATTTGCATATTTCTGGCAAATGCATTCAGTGTAAATCCTGACGTAAACAAATAGGAGGCTGTTTATAAACACCATGTAATCTCTTTAGTATGAAAATACGTATGTTTTGCTGCAGAAGCCATCCTGTGCTTGACATGGTGGCTCTCCAGATGTAGGGTGACTGCAGTGTGCCTGGGGGGTGCTGGCAAACCAGAAAGGATGGGCCGCCACCTGGGGCTCGTGGTGATGCAGCCTTGTGTGGCCAGAGCATTCTAGTTTTCAAAAACATCCAGATCTTGGGATTGTTTAAAAAGCAAAGCGAAGCAGAAAGAAACCTTTTTTAGAAATCAGCTCAGAAAAATGTTAAATGCTGTACAAAGCAAGTAAAACTCGTCCATGGCCTGATGCGGCCTACAGCGTTGCTGTATGGACAGCCAGACTGAGAATCATCCGGAAGCTGGGGGTGGCCAGAGGAGAGCAGAGGTGCGGTGAGGATAGAGCCAGAGCCGCTCCCGGGAATTCATCTGCTCCTCACCGAGACCTCGTCAGGGCGGGCAGGGTCAAAATGGAAGGTGAAGACAAGCCTGAGGACAGTGAAAAGCCTTCTAACTCTCTGCTTTTTCAACCCCGAGCTTTGCCTGGGCCTGGCCAGTCTAAACCCTAAACAGTGCGGGCTCCGAAGGGAGGTTGGCTGGGTGGAGGAAGGGCCCTTTGGAGAATTCTAGTGCCTGGCCCCAGCTCCTTGGGGTGCAGATGTGGATGGAGGATTAGGAAATGGCATGCTGCTTCCCTGTCTTGTGTCCCTGGTGGTCTCAAGGGTCTCCAGGCTTCCATTTGCAGGTTCCATGGCAGCAGAGCCTTGGGGCTCAGCATGCAGGGGTCAGGCTAAGGTGTAGCCTAGGAGGGGGTCAGAGACCCTGAGCACAGACAGCAGGGCTCAGGGGAAGGAAGATGTTGATCTGACCCAAGTAAGAAGCAGCTAGAAGAATGAAATTAAGTTGCAGACAATCAAAACCTGACCATCTCCCTAGGCAGACAGAACACATCATCAGCCACCTCTGCCTGCCCGCTGCCAGCCATTGAGGTACATCAGGAACTAAAGATTATAGATTGTAGAAGTTTGAACCAAGGGGAAGGTGCGGGATTGTGGAATCTAACTTCCTCATTTCACAGACGAGGAACCCGAGCCCAGAGAGGTTGAGTGACTTGCCGAGATCACACAGCAGGTTCATGGAAAGTGTTCCCAGAGCATGTTACACCGACTGAATGGCATCCCAAATTCACCGCCTTTCAATCAGGTTTGCATACAAGGAGTACACAGGAATTGGCAAAACACAGGGCAGGCCGTCCTAGCCTTCCCTCTGGAGGAAGGGAGGCAGCTGGGCCCAGGGACCAAAGGCGCAGACTGTGCCCGATGGCCTGGCTTAGAGTCCCGGCCCCGGCACTCACCAGCTGCATAGCAGATGATTTAATTTCTCTCTGTTTAGCCATCTATTAAATGGGGATGGAAATAATGGAGCCAACTGCATAGAGCTATGATGAAGTCTGAGAGGGTTAATGTATACAAATGCCTGAAAAGGAGTGCAAACTACCCAAATGTGGTGGTGGTGACAGTGACAAAGGTCACGGTGATGGTGACGATGGTGATGGCAGCAATGGCGATGGTGACAATGATGGGAACAGTGAGACAAGATAGGGAACGCTGTTCAACTGAGGACAGTCGGCACCCAGAGGGAGGCCAGGCCCTAGAACGCATAGATGCCTTTTCTCAACAGAGCTTTCCACGTGCAGAATGTTCCTTGGTTCTCTAGCTCGTTCTCATTACGTATTTCTAGCTTGAGAACACTCTCTGAGCAGCGTCTGGGCCAGTCTGGGTGAGATCGGCCAGGAGGGTCAGGCCCGGTCCCTGCCTCCAGGGGCTTCTGGGTCTGGGGGCTTGAGCACCTCAGGACCAGGGCCTAGATTGTGTTCATCTCTGTATCCCCAAACTTGGCATTTTGGAGGCACCATTGGGTGGCAGAGAGCAGAGAGGACGGGTCTGGAAGGCAGACTTGTGGTCTGAATCCAGGTTCTGCCCATTGCTGACAGCACCACCCTGGACAGGGCACTTGCCCTCTCCCAACATCTATACCATGAATACATTCAATTCACCTTGCGGGACTGTGCAGATGAACCGCCCAAGGTGTAAGGAACTCGCTGAGTTCTGAGTACCCGGGAGGAGCGCAGTAACTGGCAGCTGCTGATAATAACAAATGTTGACTCTGGTGAGGAAGGTCCCAAGTGGGAAAGGGAAGTGGAGAGCCTTCTGATCTGGGTCTCCAAGGGTCCTGGACAGGGGTTCCTCCCACTGGGAAAGCTCCCTGGCAGACCTGCCCCCACCTGTCCCAGGCCCACCGGCTGCACAACCAGAAGCCCCAGCTCTGAGCTCGATCAGGGGCGGGGCAGAGTCCTTCCTCTAGAGCGTTTTATCTTATCATCACAACGTTGCTGCAGAACTGGTTCCTTCCTTGTCCCCATGCTGCATATGAGGAAACTGAGGCCTAGAGGGGCTAAGAGACTTGCTCCCCGGGGCCTACAGGCAGGAAGTGGTAGAGCTAGCACTCAGACCCAGAAGAAGTATCAGGACCTGAAAACCTATCCATCAAAGGGTGAAGCTATGAGTCCCCTTGAAAGGGTATCTTGCCGCGACCCTCCTTACCCCAGAAGGATTCAGGTGACACGGGCCCATGTAAGAGATTTTATTACTGAAAGAGAAAATGGCTGCCCCCAGAGTGAGGGAGCAGCAGCTCGTGGGTGAGGAAGCGCGTTTTTAAGGAGTAGGGGTAGGGTGTGTGTGTGTTCTGCGTCGGTGATTGGCTCTTAAGGGATGGCCATCTGGTCGTTGGTGATTGAATCTTAAGGGGTGGGCAACCATCTGGTCGGTGGTGATTGGATCTCAGGGGTGGGGGTCTTAGTGTGCCAGAATTTGCCTTCACCCCTCTCCCCACAAATGCCACTTCAAGGTGCCACAGCCCTTGGGGTTTAGCCAAAGAAATTACTCTGTAATGGTGGACAGTCCCATTCACAGTGGGGAACTGGTACCAGAGGGAGATGGGAATGAGGGATCAGGAATGAGAGGTGAGGGCAGGGCAAAGAGCCTCCTGCCTCCTGTCTCACCATGCTACCCAGGTATCTCCACCATATCCCGGAGGCTTCCCTGCCCACTGCAATAGATCAGGTGATTGACAGCTGGTCACACCCCTCCCACCCAAGCCAAAGCTCAGATCTTGGCTCTGGGCCCCACACTAGGTGTGAGAAACACCTTCCCCTTCCCAGGCCCATGACTCCCAGCACAATGGTAATGGATTCTTGCCAAGATGGGGGATATTACCACAGGGCCACACAGCCTGGTTACAGGGAGTCTTAGCTGTGAGGAGAGGGCAGGCTTGCTGGGGTGTGTCTCCCCTTAAAATTCTGCCACCAGCTTCAGAACACGCTGGCAAAACCAGGCTATTTTCTAACACCCAGCAACAATTTCTCAAAAACCATATAAAGTAGTCACCCTGACTCAATGCTGTCCCCAGCTCTCAACTGAGAAGCAAGCCCAGGCCTCAAGACAGATGGAAATCAAAACACCTTGACTGAGAAAGCTGGATAGTAAATGTGGAATGTGGGTCCTGAGGCCACACAAGAGTGGCCACTGTCCTCCATCCTCACCCAAATTGAACACTGGCCCGGCCACAGCCACAGATGAGCTGGCGGAAAACTGCTCTGCTGAGAGGCCCCCACCCCCTGCTATCAGCCCATCTGCAACCCCCCCCCCCCGACCCGCCTGTCAGCTGGGGCTGGGAGGAGGGGGGCTTCCCACATGGAGCACCTTCTTACTGAACCCTCCAGCAGTTGCCATGCCACAAAGGGAGGCCATTTCCTATGGACCCCTGTTCACTGGGGCTGTGGTCCTGGCTTTGTCCCTCCTTGGCTGCACTGTCTTGGACAAATCCCTCCATCTCTTTGAACTTCGATTTCCTCCCCTGGAAACTGGAAGCCGTTAAAGATAAATTGCTCTCATTCTCATCCTGCCTTGGGAGTACTAAAAGTAGTAAATGTCTTGCGTTCCCATTCTGGCTCATTTTTCAGTTCCCTAGAACTATGAAACTCAAATGTTTGCGGACTGAAAGCAACACTCAGGACATTTTTTACATTGCAATTCAACTCACAAAGGCTGTCCTTATCCTCCCAATGCACAGTGCATCCTGCATTCTCTATTTGAGCTCATTTTTGTCTTTTCAAAAATTGATGGTTGCACTACTCTGTAATTTTTTTTATATTGATGGCTGCATATTACTACAAAGGGATAGCATGAGGAAATTTGGGGGTGATGGAATTGTAACGGTGATGTGGTTACACAGATCTATGTATGTGTTTACATGCATAGAATTGTGCACTAAAGGAAAATCAATTTTACTGCATGTTCATTTAAAAAGTAAAGTTTTAAAACAAGAAAATAATTGATGATTGCAATCCGCTATATTGATTCATGACGCACTTACCGGTTACAACTGGTAAGGTTAGATCCCTGCCCATGAACCCCAAGACGCAAGGGGGCAGGGCAGACAAGGCCTTTGTTCTAGGTGGGGAGCAGGGGGCCAGGGGGAAGTTTCACTTCCTGACGCCTCCTCTTGTTTCTGCAGTCACTTCCTGCCTTGGACAGCAAAGATGGGAGGACCCAGGTAAGAAAGTGCCATGTGGAGGTCTGGGGCAGGGGGTGGGGAAGCAGGACTGCAATTTCATCAGGCTGTAGGGGGACCTGCCAGTGTGAGTCCCACCCCCCAGAGAGTCCCGGTCCTTGCACACACATGCGCACACAGACAGGCACGTACATGCACATTTAAGATGCCCATGTGCAGGTGGCTGCTCCCTGATGGCCACAAAGCACCACACAAATGCTAGTTCTCATGGTAATTATTCTTATGACCCACTCACCATGCATAGAAAAAATACTGGCCCATAAATGTACCTTGCAAAGTCCTGCTTCCTACTCAGTCCTGCCAGATGCTCCCCGTCAGAAATTTCCAGCTGAGGCTGCAGAAGGAAGCTGCCCCAGGTTGCAAAGTATGCTGAATATCCTGCCTTCAAGGTTGAACTTTATCCTAGAAGTTAGTGGCTCCCAAGCAGGATTCCATGAAACATGTCGGATAAGAGTAGGCAACAGCATATCACCCACTGGAGACTCAGTGTAGACTGGTCTAGTAAAGGTCCTGAGAAGCCCTGCAGTGAAAAACTGTGATACGTTTTTTTAACTCAGTAGTTTCCAGCCTCATTTCACCACAGACGTCTCTTCCACATTTCCTGAAATAACATCACACTGAATGTGCTTTGGGTGGAGGGGCTCATGAAGCCACCATAAAACCAGAAGGAGCTGCAGGGGCCTTCCTGGACCCCAGGCTGAGACCCAGAAGCCTGCAAGGTCCTCCAAGCTCTAGCAAGTTGCTTGTCCTCTCCAAGCCCCTTTCTCCACCTGTAAAATGGGGAGAAAATCTCTTTCCTGGTGAGGATTCAGTGAGTAAGCTCACTGGAGGGAAAGCTGTAGAACATTCTGCCGTGTCAGGTGCTGAAACTAGCCACTTTTGCCTCTAACTATTCCTGAAATAACATCACACTGAATGTGCTTTGGGTGGAGGGGCTCATGAAGCCACCATAAAACCAGAAGGAGCTGCAGGGGCCTTCCTGGACCCCAGGCTGAGACCCAGAAGCCTGCAAGGTCCTCCAAGCTCTAGCAAGTTGCTTGTCCTCTCCAAGCCCCTTTCTCCACCTGTAAAATGGGGAGAAAATCTCTTTCCTGGTGAGGATTCAGTGAGTAAGCTCACTGGAGGGAAAGCTGTAGAACATTCTGCCGTGTCAGGTGCTGAAACTAGCCACTTTTGCCTCTAACTAGCCAATGATATTGGCTAGCCTTGCCCTGTGCTCTGGGCCCTAAGTCCAGAAGAAAACAGCAGCCTGACCAGCAGTTTCCAAATAGGGAAAACCTCCACCTCAGAATCACCTGGAAGAATCTTTTACATTAAAAAAAAAAAACTTGAATACAGTTGCCTGGCTCAAAACATTCAAAATATAAAAAGATCTACAGTTGCCTGGCTCAAAACATTCAAAATATAAAAAGATCTACAGTGAAGACTCCCACTTCCATTTCTGCCCTCCATCTACCCAGCCTTCCCCTACCCTAATATTCCAAGTAATAACCACATTCATTCATTTCTTGCATATCTATCAAGAATCTCTTTATGCAAATATAAGTATATATTTTTTTTCTTCATGGAGCTTTATTAAATCACCTAAGCCATCTCACCGCTTATGATACAGCAATTCCGCTCCTGGGTATTTACCCAAGAGAAACCAGTGCCCACACAAAGACAAAGATCAGCTGTGACTGTTCATAAGAGCTTTGTTCACAGTAGCCAAATGGTGAAGAGATAAACAAAGTCGGGCATATTCATACCATGAGACAACTCAGCGGTAAAATGCAACGAATGACACATATATTCAACAATTTAGAGAAAACTCAAGTGCCAAGTGAAATAAGCCAGACTAAAAGAACAACAACAACTAAAAAGACAAAAATATGCAGTAAGATACCACTTATATGACATTTGTAACAGGCAAAACTCATCCCTAGTGACAGACAGCTGACCAGTGCTTGCCTGAGGCTGGGCTCAGGGAATTGGCTGTAAAGGGTTTGAGAGAGATTTCCAAGTAATGACCTTTTCTATAGCTATAGTGTGGCGGTGGTTACAGACATGTATGTTTGTCAAATTCCACTGAGCAAGCACCCTCAACATGAGTGTATTTCACTGCATATAAATTGTATCTCAATAAAATTGACTTTAAATGTTAAGAGAGAAGAGAGAATAAACAGACACCAGGCTCTATCTCATATCTACTCAAACAAAATTTTCATGAGTGAGGTGATTCTGCTGAGAACCTACTGTTCCAAATTCTGAGGTCTTCCACCCCATCCTCCTAGGCCTGGCTTCTTGGGGGGTCAGGAGCAGCCCTAGCATGAGTCTCTGGGAAGTCCCTGCAAAGCCCAGAGGAGCAAAGCAGGCATCCCATGGTGCAGAAGGGAGCCTGGCTGGGCAAGGCCAGAGAGTAAGGGCAGTGAGAGGCCCCTGTGGAGGACATTTCCGAGCCTGACACCCCCCATTGACTTCTTTGACCCCTAGGGATCCCAGTGAGACTAGGAAGCTCCAACTCGAGGTGCCAGGGCCAACTGGAGGTCTACTTCAGGAACATGTGGCACACAGTGTATAGCCAGAGCTGGGGCCAGTCTGCCTACCACTGGGACAACCCCAGGCCGGCCTCCAAGCTCTGCCAGAAGCTGCGCTGTGGGGAAGCCTTGGACCTTGCCCACTTCCCTGCCTTCAACAGTCCCCAGAGCCAGATCACCTGCCATGGACAGCTGGGGTCCTTCTCCAACTGCAGTGCCAGCAAGGCAAACCAGAGGACCCCCCTGGGTCTGATCTGCTCAGGTGGGTAACCAGCCACCCACATGGTGCCCTTGACTGAGCATCAGCCCTGAGGACGCTGCCCAGGGCGTGTGATCCGGGGCCTGTGCAGGCAGGTGGGAGGGGCGCCTGAGTTACAACCACACACACTGGTGGGGAACTGGAGGGGGTGCGGGCACCAGTCTGGTAGGATGAAGAGGTAGAGGACCTGGTTCTGCCAAAAGTAACTTTCCCCATCTCCTCTTAACCTCCATTTTACCAACTGCAAAATGGGCTGGTACTGCCCACCTCACAGGATGCTTAGACCCACACAATGTGTGGGTCAAGTGGGTCTAAAGGGGCAAGTGGGACTTAGATTATGAGTTCCAGGTCCTTCTCAACACCGCCAGGCACCCCCAGCAACTCCCTGCACTCCCATCCTTCCCCCCTCCCCCATTCCTCCCTCCTGGGGTCCCTTATGCCTCCCTCATCAGAGCATCTCATTGCAGAGCCACTGCCAACAAAGCCTCCCCCCACAAGCCCCCCACCCACGACCACGCCGGAGCCCACAGGTAAGAAGATTCTGAGGTCCCTGGGGGTGGGGTGTCCAATTTAGCAAATAGAATAAAAGGATGCTCAGTTACATTTGAATTTCAGATAAACATGAAAAATTTTAGTGTGTCCTGTGCAATACTTGGGACCTCACCAGCCCCCAGGGTCCTTGGTCAGTCTTTCATTTGTCCACGTGTTGGAGCCAAGGCACCAGGAGCAAGACAGGCCCCACTGCCAAGATACTCAGGCCCGCTCCCCTCACCCCTCTCTCCCCCAGCTCCTCCCAGGCTGCAGCTAGTGGCAGGGCCCGGGGGCCTGCGGTGTGCGGGTGTGGTGGAATTCTACAGCGGCAGCCTGGGGGGCACCATCAGTTACGAGGCCCGCGGCAGGACCCAGGATCTGGGGGACCACATCTGTGCAGCCCTCCAGTGTGGCTCCTTCCTGAAGCACCTGCCAGAGGCTGAAGTGGCCAGGGCACAAGACCCATGGGAAAGCAGGCCCTTGCCAATTCGATGGGTAATAGAGAACACAAGCTGTGCCTCTCTGGAGCAGTGCTTCCAAAAAGTCCAGCCGCGGGAGGACGGCCAAGTTCTCGCCCTCGTCTGTTCTGGTGAGTGAAATGGGCCAAGACCCACAGGGCCTCCCCATATGGTCGTTCAGCACATAGCACAGAGCACCACGGGGAATCCAAGGGGAATAAGAGGGCTGATTGTTGGCTTCCCAAACGTAGGGTGGGGTGAGGTGGGGAGTGCCCTGGGAGTCTGCAGAGTGACACCAAAGAAGCCCGAAGGCACCACTGACCCCGCTGCCACCCGGGAAGTGGGATCAGCAGGACTTCAGGAAGAGACAAGGTCTCCTCGTGGGTTCTAAAGGAGGAGAGGAGCATGGGTTTGGTGGAGCAAAGGAGAGGCTTTTCAGTATCGTGGCTTGTTTCTAGGATCAGAGCAGGAGAGGATGAGCCTTGCAGGAGTGGAGTCTGTAAATCCCAGAGACAGATAAGGTTGGAGCAGTGACAACAGGTGGGAGGTCCCCAAGGCACAGCAGGCAGAGAGAGACCAGAGCAGGTCCCCAGAGGGTTTCGTACCCAGGTTTCCAAGCCACAGGCTGGCAACAGGAGGACTGGCGATGCTGGTGTGGTTGCCGGGAGGGAGCTGATGAGGCTGGTCTGCGGGACCCTAAAACCAGGATCATTGGGGAAACTGAGGGGAAAGAGACCACAGGTCAAAATAAGAATAATAATCACAGAGAGCATGCCTCAGGAGGGAGTGGGCCTCCCACCCGGCAGAGTCCTCAGGCTGAGAGGTCATACCCGTTGAGCCTCCAGGAGCTAGTCAGAGAGCGTCCTGGGCAGTCTTTCATTTCCACAACTACCTGAGGAGGTGGGTCCTATGATCCCCACCTTACAGATGAGGAAGCTGAGGCTCCAAGAGGTCAAATTTCTTGTCCATTTATGATAGAGCATTAGCTGGGATTGCTCCCAGCCACGTGATCCTGGGCCTGCTGTCTAGGCCTTACCAGGAGCCGCGGTGTCATCAGGCTCTCTAGAAATGCAGGCTCACAGCCCCACCCCAGACACTCTGACTTGGATCTGCATTTCAGCAAGATGCCTGGGATTCGTGCGCACAAACGTGGGAGACACTGCTCTGGACCACAGGGCACTCCTGCAAGCACGACCAACCCCTAACCCATTAAAATGCCACCCCTCCAGACAGAGCAGCCCCCAAGAACCTTTTGGCCTGATGAGGGAAAACGGTCTGGCTCTCCGCCCACCCACCCTTCAGTGAGCAGCTCTCCTGCAGGCTACAACCAAAAAGTCATACCCAGAGGTCTTGCCTTTGGATTTTTTTTCTAAACAAAAAATTCACTAGGGTTTTCAGGATAGATGTTGCTATGGAAACTGGTCAAAGCTGGTGAGCTCGCAACTTGCTCGAACCTGAGCACACATGGGCCTCAGCTCTGGACCCCAGCTAAGGAACCCCCCAGGCCCCTCCCTAACAAGCAGAAGTGAATTCAGTCTCTGCTGGACCAGGCCCTTTCGTGAAAGCCTACCCTGACTCAAGATTCAGGGCCTGTGCAGCAGGATTCCTGAATTCTGTCCCACCTGTGAACCACCAGGATTCAGGACAGGAGGTATCTGACATCCCTAGGCCTCAGTTTCCCCTTTCTGAAAAGTCTTCCCACCTCCCAAGGAGCAGCTGGAGAATGAGAAGATGTTTCTACGAGGGAAGCAGGCCCAGGTGGAGCTAGTTCCTGCTGCTCTTCTCTTACCTCCACTTGGCATCACCACCCTGCCAGCTTCTTCACTGAAAGTGCCCGTGCTGCTGCATCTCAGGACAGCTGCAGCCATGTCCAGAGGCACCAGGGACACAGCTCATTGGGGAAATGCCAGAGAGGATGTCAGGAGGGAAGGACAGAAAGGAAGGCAATTGCACACGTTGCCAAGGCCCCCGCTGTGCCAACAGCAGGGGGCCCCAGGGGCCAGGCTGGCAGGCTCTGGGCTGGGGTAAGTCCCTCCAGTCCCACCACCCTGCCCCCTGTCACTTCCTCTCTCCAGACTTCCAGCCCAAGGTGCAGAGCCGTCTGGTGGGGGGCAGCAGCATGTGCCAAGGCTCCGTGGAGGTGCGCCAGGGCAAGCGGTGGGAAGCCCTGTGCAACAGCCCCTTGGCCAAGAGCACAGTGCGGTGGGAGGAGGTGTGCCGGGAGCAGCAGTGCGGCAAGGTCAAGTCCTGCCAGGTGCTGGATGCCAGCGAGAAGACCTCCCAGGGGCTCTTCTGTCCCCAGGAGAAGCTGTCCCAGTGCCATCAGCTTCAGGAGAGAAAAGCCTACTGCAAAAGGGTGTTTGTCACATGTGAGTTGGCCACAGCCCATAGAGGGCAGAGGGCATTTCTGGATCTTCCCTCTAAGACCTAGTCAGCAAGCTAGGTCTGTTTCTGAAGAACAGGGCCCAGGACTAGACAGAGAGCCCCGGGGCCCTAGAAAAGGATGGAGAGATGGCAAGTGGTGGGAGAAGGCACTAGAGGGCTCAGACAGACCTGAGCATAAGTGCAAACAGGAGACTGGGTGTAATTGCTAGGCAGATAATGAATGATAAAACTCTTCTTTCTACCTGCTGCTTTTCTGGGATGGAAGATAAAAAAGCAAGGGAGAGATGGTACATATTTGTTACTAATGGTAATTTAACACATAAAAGAGAGAAATGGATGGATGGATGGATGGGTGGGTAGCTATTAGTATATGATCATATGTTAGTATACGATGGCAGGGGATTCACTCACAAGTAACCAGCAAATGATAGAAAGTCAAACAGTTGATATCAAGAGTAGCAAATGATAGCTGGATGATCAATTGCTAAGCGACAGATGGTGGGCAGATGAATGGGTAGCAGAGAATTCTGGGGATGGGTGGAGAGACAGCCAGATAACTAACTGCCTTCCACACATGTTGGTGAGTCGCTGGGAGGAGCAAGGGTGACTGGGGAAAGCCGGCCAGCAGCAGCTTCCCTCTGAATGGACAGTTTTGATACCCCAGGCTGGGCCTGACCTAACTTCTCTGCCTCCCCAAGGTCAGGACCCAAACCCACCAGGCCTGGGCACTGGCACCGTGATGAGCATCATCCTGGCCCTTGTGCTCCTGGCAGGGCTGCTGGTCCTGTGTGGCCCTCACACCTACAAGAAGCTGGTGAAGAAATGTAGGTGGAGGTGTCCCAAACCATTTCCCTTTTAAGCCCTTGTGTGAGGAGCCAGGAGGGTCTGCATGCAATCCCCCAGAGGAGGGGTCCCACCTCCAGAAAGCTGGCTCAGGGCCCCTCTGCTTCCCCTCTCCTGTGCCCTGGCCCACAAAATCTGGAACGTTGTAATGGGCACCCACATCTGGAGCCCCTCCCCCTCAAGACCCACTCCAGGCCAAAGGGAGGGCGTGGCCATTCTTCAGATTGTGGCAAGATGGCCCCTGACCTCAGGAGACCTTGTCCCAGGCCCATCTCCACCCCTTGCCAGCAGCACATGATGCTGATTAGCCACTTCCTCTCTGAGCCTCAGTTTCCTCATCTACCAAATGGGAGGGCGATTGTGTACCTTGTGAAGGCAGGGGGCTGCAAAACTCAGGAGAAAATTTTCAGAGACAGGAAGTGAGATCAGGGGAGCTGAAAAGAGAAGGTGCAGAGGAGTGTGGTGCTGGCCGGGCCCACAGCACCCTCCCGAGTCTTAAATCTGGGTCTAAACACCTGTGGTAACTTTTCCTGGAAAACCAGGCCCCCCGGCACGCTCCACTAGATGGGCCCAGTCCCCCTCCTAAGCAAGTTGGACAACTGAGGACCCACAAGAATTTGGGGCAGAGTCCTGCAGTCCCTCCCTCCCCTCCCCGAACCCTGCCCCATGCATCTCCCCCTCCCACAATCCCCCAGCCTGCCCTAATGTGCCTCTCCTGTTTGTCGCCCAGTCCGCCAGAAGAAACAGCGACAGTGGATTGGCCCAACAGGAATGAACCAGAACAGTAAGTGTCCCCAGAGGCAGGGTCCTCCCTCGGCCCCAGCCCGGTGTCCAGGGGCTCAGGAAGGAGGCCATGGAGGCAGGGCCACAGCTCACTGCTGACCCCAGATTGAGCTGGTGGCTCCCTGAGGCCTCTGATCTCCACTGTGCTCATCTATGTATGCTGTGACCGTGGCCAACAGATGTTAACAGGCGGTACTCGGAAAGGAGGCCTCCATGATCAGATAGATCTGGAAATCAGTGAATTAAGCAAAACCAGACTCAACCCTTTATTTCCGGACTTACCAGAATCTTAATGGACATTTTTGCAAGAAGAGTTGTCCAAGCTAGTTTTATCATGGAACAGCTTTAAAAAAGGCCAGTTTTAACACATTTTGATGCAGTCAGCCCAAACCCCATCCCCAATCTTCATCCTCTCTCCTAGCCATAGCCAGAGCCACCCTAAAGGATGGATCCATAGCCTTCGCCCTGCCTCCCATTCCACACTCTTCCCCCGTTTTACAGGCGAAGGACCAAATCCTTCAAGAAGGCCGTGTGTTGTCAAGTCTTCCTTATAACATAAAGGCCCTCAGCTCTCAGAGGGCAGGAACTTTATCTACCCTATCACTTGTGTTCTAATTCCCTGTTTAATAAGGCTTGATGAATGACTGACTGAAGGCCCACCTGGTCATCAGATTGCTGGCCAACCCAAAGCTGTTCTAAGCCTGACCTCTGTAGTAGGAACCTCCTGGAAGAAAGGAATAGAGGGAGGCATTGAAGGAGCTGTGGGTGCCTTTGCCCTCTCCCCCATAACACACTGGGAACAGGAAATGAAAATTCTGGGCCCCTGTTGGGAAGGAGAAGAGCAGAGCAGCAGATCTAATGATACAGTCTCCTGCACCTGCTCAGTGTCTTTCCATCGCAACCACACGGCGACCATCCGCTCCCAGGTTGAGAACCCCACAGCCTCACATGTGGAGAATGAATACAGCCAGCCTCCCAGGAACTCCCAGGTCTCAGCTTATGCAGGTAAGCACCAGCGGACACATCCAGAAATGAAGGCAGGGCTGGAGTGGAGGTCATGTGACTGCCCAGAGACAAGGGAGGCCACAGAGGAGAAGGGGATCAAACTGCCTCTTTGACAGTCATCACAGCAGAGTATTGAAGGATAACAGCCTTAATAGGTCTCAGCAGCTCCCTTGAGACCAGGAGCCACTCAACTAGAGAAAAGAATGCCCCGGATGCCATTAACCCCAGCATTGCTGGGACCTAACAGGTCTGTTTCTCTGCAGGGCCTGAGGGATCGTAAATGAAGCCCCTTGGATTCCTTTTTTGAGACAGAACAGGGCCATCGGTGGCCGGCAGGGGCCCTGTATTGAGTGCTCCCTGACTGGCACTAACAATTAAGCCCCAGGGAGCCTGGAGTTCAGCCTCATTAGTGAACACTGGCTGATCTGATCAAAACAGATACAGGGCTATTGAACTACCAGCTCATAAAGCCCCTGTGGTATTCCAACCCCCACGGGGCTCTGGGCTCTGACAGGCTCTCTCTGCATAGCCTGGTGGGATAACCCCGCTGCAAATGGCCTCCTTTCTGTCCGCAGCTCTGGAAGGAGCCCTGCATCGCGTCTCCACCCAGCCTGACAACTCCTCTGACAGTGACTATGATCTGCACGGGGCTCAGACGCTGTAAAAGGTGAGCCTGGCCCCCTGATTCCCTCCCCCCCGGGCGGCCTGGGGATCAGTACCAGCCACTCAGTGCTCCACCCTGCCCATTCATGAGTGGGGGACTCTGAGCATCTTGACTCTGTAAAGGAAAGGATAAACATCAGGAATTTGGGGAATGGGAGCCGACTTGGCAATTAGAGTAGAGGCATCATCAACCCTACCACCACCCCTTAAACTCCCTCACAGAGACCATTCAAAAGAGCCCAAGTTTCTTGAAGGACTTACACCCCTCTAGAGCTGCCAGCAGGAAGGAGAAGTGTCTGTCTCAGAGGGACAGCTGCTGTTCCTGACATCACACCCAAGGCTTGGGGCCTGTCCTCACCTCCCTGAACCACCTCCGGGGCCTGCGGTTTCCTTCTCTGACATGTTTCCCTCTCAGCCCACAGAACTGGGAACCTGGAACCCAACAACCAGAGCCAGGCCTTTTGTCCTGAGACCGTTCTGCATCCACTGCATGGAAACATCCCGATTTCTCCCCCGGCCAGAACATACAGGGACACAAGGCTGCCTTCAGACATGTTCTACCGTCCTAAGGTTGCAGGCCAGCTCTGCCATCACCCCACTGGAGCCTCACACAGGGCAGACCCCCCCAAAAAAGCTTGGCTGGCTCCTCCAAATGTGGACCCCAGGAAAGCAGAGCCTAGAAATGAGTAGCCCTCTCAAGCAGAGACACGTGGGACCTGGGCTCAGCAGCCCCTCCTGTCTGTGGGCAGCGGCTCCCAGGCTGATTGGCCCTGTCCTGATGCTGACCCCAGGGAGGACCAGCAGGGAGGCCGACCCAGGGACTGGAGGGCTGACTGCTCTAGTGTAATTTTAGTATGTACTTTGTAAATAATGCTTTTTCTACTTCCTGAGAACTGGAGTGCCTCCTAAGTCCAGAGTCTACCCCCTGGGCCTTCTAGAGGTGCCTGGGAGAAGGGGCACCTGCAGTGGCGAGGCCAGAGGGCTGCTTGCCTTTGCAGGTCCCACAGCTGCCAGCAGGGGTGTGGGCAGGTGCGGGCCACCTGGAGCCTCATGGCCACCCTCCCCCTGTGGTGTCTCTGTAGCCCCTCACTTTGAGACGTCTTCCCTAACAGAGAGCACCCTGTCAGCCCAATGGGCACCAGCACTACCTGAGAGTCCTGCACAAAGAGGGTGCCTAGTAAATCCTAGCCGATTTGGGTTTTTGTTTCCATAGCAGTTAAAAGTCCAAAGGAGGGAGACGGTAGAGTGCCTGTGACCCAGTGGGTGCTACAACCTCAGGGATAAGGGCTTGGGGAGGAGGGAGAACAAGGAGCAGCCTCCTCTCCTCGGCCTCTCTGTGCACCTAGCCGCCACTCTGGGACCAACCCACAGCAAATGCCAACTGTGTGTGCTCCCTGAGTGAAGCTCTCAGCTCCATCCTACAAAGCCCAGTTGTCTCTGGCTCTCTCTGGTGTCCTGCATCCTCAGCCTTTGACCCTTGCAAGGCAAGGCCAGAGTTCAGGAGGGAGCAAAGGGCAGTAAAAATTTGACCAAAGTGGTCTTAGATTCCCCAAGCTTCCTCAGGACTGACCTCCCAGAGCCTGCTGACTTCTGGAATCACAGAGGTCTGACAGAAGAGGCCTGCAGCAGGGCAGACAGAGCCACGTAGGAGCCCTGTCCCTGCCCCTCAGAGCAGCATAACCTGACCACTGAGCCCCCACAGGCTCCTCTCTTGTTTAAAATTGGATCGGGGGCTGTTGAAAGGACCCACCAAGATAACCCACGTCAAAAGCTTCACACATTGTGCAGCCCTGTTGAGTATTCAATATTGGCATTCTCTGAATCTCTGGAGAAGAGCCCACTCAAAGGTCTGTTAGAAACCTGGTCTGCCGTCTCCCGGGAAGCTGCCCTTAGTGCCGAAAGCAAGGCACCCTCCCAGGCCTCATTACCAGCTGACTTCCCGGGGAGCTGGGCAGGGAGGCAGGCTGAGAGCCATGTCAGACCACCTGCCTCCACAGCCCGGTTAGTGGCCTGCTGCCCCTCCATCCCAGTTTGAAAACTGGATAGGAAGACTCCGGCCCCAACTGGGCCAGGTCCTGGACTGACCTGCATGCAGGCTGATGGTTCTCAACAGCCCAGCAGGTGGCAGAATGCAGCACCGCGGTCGCTAGGCTGAGGCCCGCCTGCCCCCTGGTGGGGCTCCATGGCCTTGCACAGCCTGTCCTCCACCCAGTACTGCGGGCTCCAGCCTGAAAAAACGTCCAAGATGGAAAGCCAAAGAGTAGGAGAGGAAAGGAAAATGCAGGAAGAGCCAGGTCCCCGGGCAAAGGAGCCGGAGAGGGCAGCAGCTCAAGAGATAATACCCAGATAGATGAGGCTTTGTGCAGGAGGACAAAGAGGCCTTTCAGCTGAGCGGGCTCCTGCAGGCTGCGGAAGAAATCAATGGGCTGGGCAGCCACATCACTTCTCAAATCCACGGGAGCCACAGTCCATGTAACTCATCAGTTTATTATGGCCGTTAATTATACAGACACACCGGCAATCGTTCATCCAGTTCAGAAGCACTCAAACCAGCAGAGTCCATTAGTGATTTCTCTTTATAAATAACTCATGAGAAACAAGCCCAATTGGCAAGGAACTGACAGCATTAACGGAGCGTCTCATCACGCACGCCCGCTGACGGCATGCAGGCCGGGGAGGGGGCAGGCACCGGAAGGTGGACTCTCCTCTTTGACCCCCAGCACCCCAGGCCCACCAGATGCTGGGCACCCAAGTAGCAGACATTTCAAGGCACAAATGACCTCCTAACCAATAGCAGCTCCAGATCTGCTCTTGAGACCTGGGTCACATCTGGACCAACCAAGTTAATGCTCTGTTCATCACACCCCCTTTGGTCTATTGTCATTTTTATTACTGAATATACTAGAAATCCCCAATGTGCTTGGGGGCCTCACGTGGCACTGAGTCACAATCCCTGGCCTTTACATTCTGAAGATGAGAGAGATGCAAAGAAAGGGACTCCAGTATAGTGATGGTGTCTGAGAAAGCACCATTTGGAGAGTTACTGTTAGGGTATCTTCTGATGTCCGTCTTAGGAGGAATACTAGGGTGAAGGAAAGTTGTATCACAGGAGCCTGAGGAAGGAGCTGAGGTGAATGAGATTCAAGGCACTAAAGGGGTGGACGGAGGGGGTGGGCCTCAAGGGTCAACTGGAAGTGGAGGGCCCCAGAAAAGGGGGGTAGCTGGCAGCAACGTGGTCCTCCACTCCTAAATGAGCCCTGATGTGACCTCAACCTCCTGGACCAGAGCTCTTCCCTCCCCTCCAGCCAGGGGTCCCAGGCTCCCCCCAATGTCCAAACAGCACAAGCAAGGTCTGGGGTCCACCTTCATGATCCCCAGCCTTCTCTCTGTGCTGGCTCTGCTGCTGTCATTCAAACCAGCACACAGGACAAGCTTATCTGACATCAGCCTACCAAAGTTCGATTATGGCTGAAAAATCATGAAGTGTGTTTCCCAACTGTTCTCTCTCCCTGATCCAACCTGGCCATGGTGGGTGGGACAGGCCGTCCCTGAGTGGGCCTCAGACAAAGAGCTGCATCCCTTGACATGGGCACCACGTCAAATATGCCAAATCCCAGAGGAGAGGGAGGGGGTGAGCAGGGGCCAGAGACCCGGTCACCTTGCAGCCAAGATAACTCTGCATTTGGTTCAAATGTCTGTGAGTGCTGGTCCAGGTAGATGTCCACGAACACTCACCGCCGCTCACACAGACACCCTGCCTGGCTAATACTGGAAAAGCCAAAGCCGGTCACCGGAAGGAGGCCAGTAAGCACTGTGACCGTGTGTGCGGCCAAGCCAGTCACACTGTCCGTTGCCTTCCCCACCAGCATGCTCCCAGCCAGGCTCCCGAGGCCATCCAGTGTTGACCCAAGACCCCCCAGAGTGCCAAGTCCAATTCCAATTTAACCTTCAGCCTCAGTGGTTGGCGGGCAAAAGGCTGTAGTGCAGGTGGAAGTAGGGAAGGACCAAGGGCCTTGTGTCTAGTATCCCGGCCAGACAGGACCCTGAGGTGGTGGAAACCCATACGGAGGGGCAGGGCCAGGGGCATAGGGCGGCTGACGGGGTCCTGAGGGCTGGGGGTGGCCTGGGAAGCTCGGGGGCTGGGGCTGAGTTGGGTAGGGAGGTCTTCCTCCAGTTGAGAGGTAGGGGGGCTGCTGCTGAGGATACCCAGGACTTGGGGTCCGGCCCCGCGGCAAGGGGTACCCAGGGCCAGAGGCACCAGTGGGGGCCAGAGGATAGCCAGGACGGGACGGTGGGCTCCTCTGCGGGGACCAGGAGTAGCCCACAGCAGCCCTGGGTCCTGGCTGGGCTGACGGGTAAGGGGGGCCCAAAGGGCCGCTGTAGGAAAAGGAGGGCTGGGCCACCACCGGGAAGGGCGCCGGCTGGAGCATGCCTTGGGCAGTGGGGCCCGTGGGCATGCTGGGAGTCAGGCTGTAGGGCAAAGGGTAGGGCGGCATTGCTGACGGGGGCAGCGGCGGGGGCGGCGGGGGCTGCTCATCGGCCACCGGGGGTGTCACCTGGGGGGCTGGGCGAGCAGGGAGCGGTGGGGGCGGTGGGCGGGGAGGAGGGGTGTCACCAGCCGGCTCCAGGGAAACCCTGGGCTTCCTCATCACATCCTGGAGCTTCTCCACACGGACCCGGCGCAAATGGGACAGCATCCTCATGGAGGAAAAGTTCTCAAGAAATGTCTCCAAGGGCACCTCGCCCTCCAGGAACTTCTCAGCCATGGTCTGGAAGACAAGGTCCAGTGACAATGGAGGCCTCTTAGGATCAAGGCTACACATTCCCCTGAGTCAAAGGTCAGCTGTGGCCTCCAACCTCAGCCCACCTCAGATGCTCCCTACCTTTTCTGGTCCCCATTTGGGAATTTCTCTTTACGGCCCTTATCAGTGCTGACACACTATACATGTGCTCGTTGGTTTACTGTCTGTCTCCCTCACCAGAATGTCAGCTCCCAGGGAGCAGCCACTCTCTGTTGTGTCCACCGCTGTCCCCCACCGCTGCCACTGGGCCAGGCTCACAGTGGTGCCCCCATAAATGAAGAATAACTGAACGCCAGCTATTCAGCTGCTAGTGTGGGCCAGTCCAGGGTCTGCAAAAACCCAGAAGCCTCTCTCACCCACAGCACGGAGAAGTGGAGACAACGCATCTGCCCAGAGACTGAAGAGATGCCAGAGGGAAGCAGAAGAGAGAGATCGGGCAGGCCACATGAAAGGAGGTGCTGGGGGCCTGGCTGCAGTCCTCAGGGGCACCTTCTGCACCACACTCCCCTCCAGGTCCTGTGACCCTGCCATCAGCCACCTATTTCTGTTTCATCCCAAGTCTGGCTCCCTGTCGTCTGCATCAAGGGCCTGCACTGGGACTGAAGGTATCGTTCATCTTTGCCATTGCCTAAAGCACCCCGGTCCCACCTGGCAGACACTGCAGGGTACACAGGCTCCAGCCAGGGGCTGACACTACTCACGGAGGAGGGGTGTCAACAGTCATCTCACCTCAGATTCTTCTTCAATCTTCATGCCTTCAATCTGCAGAAGGTCTAACAAGGTCTCTGGCTGCAGGGCTGCAGAAAATTTCTCTGGGAGGGAGGACAGAAAGGTCGACATTTCGAAAGTGTCTTTCGATTCAGTGTGGGAGGCTATGGTTTTCACAAAGGCTCTCAAAGTCCTCTGTGCACTCTGAGGCCCAGATACTGCCCTGGAGTCTGCTGTGGAGCCCCTTGCAGTCCAGTCCCTTGGGGCACCGTCCTGAGCAGGGGGCTGTTCCACGCCCAGCCTGGACCTTGGCTAGCCAGCCTCCCCGACACGAGCCTGGGAGGCAAGGACTAAGGCTTCAGACTTCAACCCTGGTTGCCACTCAGGGAAGTCACTTTACCTGTCTGAGCACCAAGCTTCTTCACTCCCAAGACCAGGACAGCCCCTCCCACCTCACAGATGGCTGGTCAGGGACTCAGAGAGCCTGGATCAGCTCTGTAAGGCACAGACACTGAGCTGGCGAAGTTGCCAGCAATAGTGAGAGATGCAAGCTCTCTGGATCAAATCCCAAGTCCACCTCTATCTAGTGGTATAACCCTGGCAAGTTCTTGAACTCTGAGCCTCATTTTGCTCATCTATGAAATGAGAACAGCAGCAGCACCTGTTAGACGCCTGCTGTGAAAAAATGTATGTAAAGCGCCCAGCACAGGGCTGGACATGGTGACCCACAGCAGCTGCTGGCCCTTCCTGCCCTTGGAGGGGCCATCTATTCCTCCGTCCTACTCCAGCAGCGATCCCCAGTCCAGCCTTGAACGGAGACCCTGAGTTAACACAGGAGCCCCTACCCAGCTGTGCCTTCTGCTCCTGGCACCGCTCCACGAGCTTCCGAAGCTCCTGGTACTTGTCTGAGAGGTTGGAACGGCTGATCTCCAAAGGACCTTGGAACTCCAAATTCCGCTCCGCCAGGCTCCGGTTGGTGGCCAGGGCCATCTCCCGTTCCAGCTGCAGGTCCTGGACCTAAAAGACAGGATACTTGACCAAAAGAACGACCACTGCTCACCTCATAGCAGACAGGACCAGGGGTTTCTGGAACTCACAGCTCACCATGGGGAACCAGGTAAGACTCAGCCCTCAACTAGAGTCAGTGGACCTGGGCTCAAACTCTGAGCAAAACACTCCAACCCAGGATTCCACTGAATCTTTAACCCAACAGACCATGTGGTGGATACACAGGAGAAATGGCACTGATAGTTGACAGCTTGCCTGAGGCCAGCTGATGAACAGGAGCCAGGCCCATCACAGGCTGTGCAGAGCTCCAGGGGGAAAGACAATTTACACAAGACAGTCAGAGGTTTTCCACAAGGGCAGGGACTGAAAGTCCCAACTACTTATCCCCATGGTTCAGAGTCAAGGGACTGACTCCAAGGAGGACTAAGGTGGCCCAGCCAGACCCCAGGCTGGACATGCAATGAGACCCCAAAATAAAGTTCACTCTGAGGGATGAGAAAGCCAGTGCCAGAGGTGGAGTCTGCAATTTGTGCTCCAGACTGGAAAAAAGGGACACTACAGCTACCTTCCTCCCACAGGTGTGGCTGCTAGAGCCCCTGACCTGCAAGCTGCCCCCATCGGGCTCTCTGGTTTGCTACCGCAAACACCCTCTTTAGCCCCTCAGCAAGCAGTGACTCAGGGATGCTGTTGCTCATTTTCATTAGCCCTGAAAGCTTTTCTTTACTTGGGTGGCTGATACAGAATGGGTGGCCTAAAGCCCTCTGCTCAGCTGTCCCCTAGGGGCCCACAGGTCCTCAGGTACTCCTACGTGTCCATGGTATTTCCCTGGGTCTTCACCAATAAATCTCTATCATTTCCCCCTAAGCCTGTCCTATCCATTTCTGCCCACTCTCCCCACATATTTCTGTTAGGGATTTGCAGTAAAAGGTCAGTAAGGCAGTTCTCAAACCCCACCCAAAAGAGCTCGCCGCCACCATTCACACTCTATGTGAAACATCCTCTCCAACTCTTTCCTCCAGGCAGTGTGCCCATCCCAGTGAGCAGCTCCCTCTCCTCCCAGCCCCACGGGGCCTAAGTGTGTTTTACCACGGATGCCTAGGCCAAGGGGCCTGAGTCTAGGTCGCATGCACCACTTGGCTTCCCCCTTTACCTCGAGAGTGTTTTTCCCCTCAGAGGATTCAAATCTGTTAGCCAGACGTGGCTGCACGACTAACCGCGTTTTGTCCAAGAGGGTGTTTCCGCTTACACTTCCTGTGATCCTATCAGCCAGCTCAGCCCGGACCTCAGCTAATTATCATTACTTCAAGGCTCACTCCCCCGTTTCGCACACTTCAGAGCAGACCTCAGAACTGCCCCAACACTGTGCTCAGGCAGACTCTAGAAGCGCTCGGTGCTTACTTAGTATGTGACAGGCAAATGGAAGATGAAGGAGAGCAGACCTGCTCTGTGCCCAGCACTGCCAACTCAGAGCCAGACCCTGGCAGAGCTCCTGGCCTAATTAGCTATTTGAGCCCGCCTTGGAGATTCACTGACACAGGCTTTGCCTCCCATCCTCGCTGAACGAGTTCAGGAGGCAGGGCGGGCCACACTGCGTCCCCACACCTCTCCTCACACCCGCCCCCTACTCTGTCCCCTCCTACCCCAGCAAAGATTGCTCATTTGGGAAGAGGGGCAGGTATGGGCAGGGTGGCACGAGCACCAGCGAGACAGGAGCAAAGGACTTCATCCTTGCTGTGCGCCCCTTACAGAAATCCGGGGAGGCAGAGGCAGGGAGACGCTGCATGGGATGGCTTCCTTTTCCCGGGGGAACATATTGTGATTCATAGAAGAACCATACCATACTTGTCTACTAGTGAAAATACAAACATTGCAAATGCTGATCAAACGAGCTTAGCATCATTTGCGTTTATGTCTCTCCGTAGCATCAGGGGCAGGAGGCAGCAGCTTCCAGGGCCGTGACCGTGGCCACATCTGGTCGTCTGACTTCTCCTGCTTTGCAGGGGCATCACAGGGTTAAGGAGATAGGGAGGGAGGATAGGGAAAGCCCTTTATAAGGTGTAAAGCTCTGTACATTCAAAAGGGTTACTCCTGTGAGGACTGGGATTAGGAGCGGAGACAATCAGGTGCCAGTTATGACAGGAAACGGGACCACACAGGAGAGGAGCCGACCTCCAGCCTAAGAGTGGCTCCTCCTGGAGATGCAGAGCCAGACAAGGCCCTTGGGGAAAGGCAGCTATGAACAGCCGGAGTGCTTTTAGAAACTGCCTCCAAATTCAGGCTGGAACAACAGTGTGGGGACTCCCAGGGCATCCAGGTCCCTGGGAGACACCAGGAGCCCAAGCTCACGCAGGGGCCCTGGACTCCCTGGCACCATCCCCTAGGACTCCCTGAGGGCCCTGGACCTGGACTGAGACCTCAGAGGCTCCTCTGGCTGAGTCCAAACGAGGCTGAAGGCCACACAAAAAGGAGACGAACTTGGCCCCAGTGTCTTGAAGAAGGGCCTCAGTCCCATCTGCTGCGCCCAGGCCAGCCTGCCTCTACCTCGGGGGACTCCTGGGCCAGCCGGTCGATGGCTTCTGGGTCATTCTGCATCTTCTCCAGCTCCTCCAGGGTCTTGTCCTTCAGCGTCTCCATCTTTCCCTGGGAACACAGAATGGCACTAAAGTGAGGGAGGTGCAACTGGGGGAAGGGGCCCTCGAGCCCACATATATTATCTGTCAAAGACAAACTAGTGGTTCCCAAAGATGCTTCCACACAACAGGGAGGCTCAAGGAGGGCCATGGGGTCCCATCGAGCACACTCTGGCCACCCTGCACAAGGAGCCAGTCTACCAAACCATGAAGCAGGATACGTGGAAGCACCAGGCAGCCAGAAGCAAAACCATGATTCGTGATGGCGCTAGATGAGGCTCCCCAGGGAGCAGACAGAAAGGCAGGAGGAGAGAGCCAGGCAGGGAGGGACAGAGGCTAGATCTGGTGGAGGCCGCCCACAAGCCCTGAGGCCAGCATGCCCTCTGGGAGGTGTCTACTTGTCTGAACAGAAATACACCCTGCCTTCCACATGGGGGCTTTGAGGGCGTCACCATCACAGGCTCAAGCACCTTGCTGCCTATGTGTTCAGTGCACCGACAACTGGGGTTTCCCTCAGTTTTCTCTCTGCAGAGGCAGCCCTCCCTCCCCACGTGCCTCAGAAATGGGCTCTCACGTGTGGGTCCTCTTTGGAGAAGAACAAAAAGTCACCAAATTGGCCCCTATGGCAATCAGAGGAAAGAAAACTGACCAACCCAAGTGTCCCCTTTCATCCTCTCCCTCTGTTGCTCTGCCCAGAGGGCCATGGATCGTCTGTATGACAGAGGGGTCCCGGCCAGGTGGAGGAGCCCCAGGGGCTGCGCAGAGGAAGCACACACGTCCAGGATTTGCGTCCCTCCTGCTGACAGGATCTTCGGTATCTTTTCTCGATGCGAGTCTTACAGTCTTAATACAGGTTCTTCTCATTACAAAGGTTATGTTAGTTTTCCGAAGATCCCAACACTACAGAATCTGGACTCCCCCCGCCCCCTGCACCAGCACTCAGCTCGAGAGAGCCAGAGCCGGCAACCAGGCCAAGGAGGCATTCTGGGATCAGGAACCAGAGTTACAGCTGTGTGGCCGGAAGCAACCTTCCCCGGGTCTCAGTTTCCCCATCCGTAGTAAGATGGGAACAGCACCTCCTAGGGCCATCCAAAGATGAAAGGAGAAACTGATAAACAATGACCACACTCCCACTGGCTAGGAAAGGCCTGGTTTAGTCCTCATGCTCCAGGACAGCTACTAATGGTGCCCTTTTCATGTTCAAGAGAGCCCATTTCAACAATAAATTACATGGTCACCCTACTGATAAAGAGCTATCCTAACAGTCACCACCACCACCTGTTACCTCCTGAGGGTTGGACGTAGCCCCCAGCCTCTAAGGCAGTGAACGCCAAGCTTGGGTAGGGTGCACACCTGAACCTCTGGGAAATGCAGGTGCCCAAGCCCCAGCTTCAGCTTCACAGCTCTGGGTCGGGAGGCTAGACCAGGGCCCGGGAATCCAGAATCTCTCCTGGAGAGGCTGATGCAGCCAATCCCAGGCCAGATGCTAAGAAAGATGATGGCTCCTTGCTAGTCATGTTGACAACAGAGGCCACCAGTTTTTTACTGGACACCACAGAATATGTTTTTTATGTGTAGCCTCTCCTAATCCTGCAAGGTAGCAGCAATCACCCCAGTTATACATGGGGATCAGGGAAGTCAGCAAGCAGGGGAGTCAGAATTCAAACCTGCACTAGTCCACACCTCACCCTGCTGGTCTAAAAGCTGGGGAGAGAAGGGCAACAGCAGGCTGAACAGGCCCCGAGAAGGAGAACTTCCCAGGCACGCTGCCTTTCCATAGCAAACTCTGCTGAGCAGGACCAGCAGAACAACATTCTGGAGATATGAAACAAGTCAGGGCCATGGGCTTGGTCAGAAAGACCTAGTCTGAGTCCAGGCCCTGCCACAGCAGAGGGACCTCACACAAGGTACAATGAGATAACCAGGCAAAGCACTGGCCTAGAACAAACACTGGAGAGAGACTCCAGCACCACCAAATCACTTACGATCACAAATGCCTCCAGGATGGCCCAGGTGAGGACCTGCTGAGGCCCAGCCCCCCACCACACAGGGTGCCTGCTCCTCCCATGGTCAGGTCTAAGCACAGACACGCTGCTCGCCCAAGGATGGAGGCTGCCTGAGGCAGCCGGCTGACCACACATGGGCACACCTGCGAAGGCCTCAGCAGGTCCAGGACCCCTCCCACCCTCAGGGAGCTTTGGGGCCCACCAAGACAGCCCTGAGCAGAGCTACGGCTCTCTGGGGTGTGTACCTGCACTCCTCAACCGCTTACCATGGGACCGTCGCCCGCCATGCCCAGCAAGTCCCCACCTGATGTGGCATGCTCACGCAGCAGATGGCCACTTCTTGGTCTCAGGACGCCTTTCATTCCTTACATGACTGAGGAACCCAAAGAGCTTCATTTATGTGGATTTTAGCTTTCGACATTTACCACATTAGAAATTAAAAGCAAGAAATTTTTAAATATAAGAATACACAAGCCCCATATTCCATTAGCCACTCGAATGACAACATGATCTTATGCCATATACCCTCTGAAAAACTCCACTGTATATTCACTCAAGAAAGGGGGCAAAGGAAATGTTTTAGATTATGAAAATCATTCTCACCTTATGGACAGCCTAAAAGGGTCTCAGGAACACACTTTGAGAACCACTGGCCTAGCAGTTAGGAGAGTGGACTCTGTGGAGCCTGGGCTATGAATCCCTCTCTGCCACTTAGTAGCACTGTGCCTTAGTTTCCCCATCTGTTAGAACAGCTGTGCCTGGAAGACAGTGAGCACTACATTAAGTATCTGCCATTACTGGGGCCCTCCCAGCCCCCATACAGGTGAGCACAGCTATTACCCTCCTCACAGAGAGGCAGGTGAGGTAACCTGTACAAGGCTGTACAGCTAGGGAGCAACCCAAACAGTCCAGGGGCTTCTCACCCGGTGCATCAGAATCACC